TATTCGGCATTACGTCATAATACGTTAAAAAATAACATGCAAAAACTGCGCCATGATCATATGAGTTTGTCGGATAATGTATACATAATCCGCATATGATCGGATTTTGAAGCGGATATCCGGATTAACGGATTAACGGATTTCGGATCGTAAAGGTTTATATTAGTGATGCATTATCGTTATATTCATGCTATATACTCATGAATAAACTTGATAAAAATATAATCTATCCACGTGATGGTTGATAGGTATAGACTAAACCGTGAAAATTATAAAAATATAAACTATAAACTTATCAGTTATTACTTGTGATAAATATTGCGCTAAGAAAATGAAATTTTATTTAATAAATATTAGCATTAAACATTCATTTATAGTTTTTTAAAGCTAATTATTATTAGTCTTCGATCCTTAAGGTATTGTTAACAATATTAAATACTTCAAATTCCATATTTCCACGACCTTTGCTTGATATCGGTTTAGAAAAAGGTAAAATAAGAATTGCTATATCTTCTATATTAAATTTTGTTTCAGAAGTCATAAATGTATCATATCGCTAAAATTAAAATAGAAATGTGTGTATTTTGATTTCAAAACATAAGTCATTCTCGATACTTTTCTTTATTAATGCTTAGAGCAGAAAGAGAAATGGAACAATCGCTAATAGTACTTAAATTATTATCAATATTACTGGACATATTGAAATAAGGATTAATTTTAAAGCTAGTTCTATTATAATAGTTTGACTTTTTACTGATTTGATAGTACTAATGGTTTGATTTTATTCCTATCACTAATTATCTGATTGACAAATCGAGAAAGTCTACAGATTGAAGATTCCAGATTATCTTTTTACAAAACTACCAGGAATTCGGAAGCCCACTTTCAAATCAGAATAAATCATGATAGTTTTGTATTTTCTATCAATAGATTATTGTACGTACAGTACGTACGTACGAACTTATGTGCAGTACGTGAGTCAATTATCATCGTTACGTCATATCGATATTTATATCTGATATCTACCGTCTAGCGTAACACAAAAATAACGTGGCTTTCTTTAATACAACTTAAAACAAGTTTTTTTTTTCCTAATACATTTTTGGCTTTTTTCTTTTTTTTTTTTACATCGATATTTGAACAATTTTGAAAAATGATAAGATTTTATGACCGCCTTTCTAGTGACCTTACAGACCTTCTTGAAAATGAATACGATTATAATGTTATCATTGAAATTGGGAAATCTCCGAATTATAAACCATATAAAGCGCATTCAGCTATTCTGTATCAAAGGTCTACATTATTCCGACGAGAATTAGGGGATACTGAAAAAGATGAAAATAATATTAAGGAAATCTGTATTGATTATATTACTCCTGAAATATTTGATATTATTATCAAGTGAATTATATTTTTTTTTTCGTTGAAATATTTTCTTATTCATGACAATAATGACAATAATATATTTAATCATTCCTCTTTTATATTTTTAGGTATATTTATGGCGGTTATGTTTCTTTGGACAACATGAAAACTTCTATCATGTTCGAACTCATGTCTGCTGCGAATGATTTTGGTCTTGTAGAATTGGCAAAACATATTCAATCACATATGATTGAACATAATGCAAATTGGTTATGTCTCAATTTTGCTCGCTCTCATAGGATAAGTTATCGAAATGAACATTTACAAGAATTACATCAATTTTGTGCAAATATTTCTACAAAATATCCTGATTTAGTATTTAATTCTAGAGATTTTATTTCTTTACATGAAAGTGTTCTTGTTTCTATTGTGGGTCATGATAATTCAGAAATTAATGAAGCTTCAATATTTGAACGTATCATTGAATGGGGCCTTGCTCAAAATCCAAAAATACCATCTTCCCCTGATAATTGGTCTGAAAGTGATGTTTTAACTATGAAATCCACTCTTAAAAAATGTTTACCACGTATTAGATATTCTCGAATTAATGGTGAAGATATATTTAATAAAATTCGTCCTTATCAACAAATTCTTGATGATAATGTTTGGGCTGATTTGACGAAAAGATATATGGCTCCACCAAAACCTCCAAAGAGTCCTTCTATTAATCCAACATCTACTCTCCCACCGTCTTCTCGAGGAATCTCAATTACCATACCACAATCAAAGCCGGTTTCTTCTCATTCCCATACTACAGAAAAACATGAACAACTTACTCGTGAAATTGAATCATTACAAATTTCTTCAAATAATTCTTTATCAGCAATTATTACTGATGAACAAATGGCTGAAATTGCCTCTTGGATTGATGGTTGTTCCTCACCATATGTAGATGTATCACATAGCCCTTATGAATTTCAATTAATTCTTCGTGGTACTCGTAACGGTTTTAATTATAAAACCTTTTGGGATTTATGTGATAAACAATCTCATACAGTAGTTATCTTGAAAGTTAATGGATCAGATGAAATTTTGGGTGGTTACAATCCTTTAGAATGGGATAAACAAAAATATAGAGGTTGGAGTACAACTAAAAATAGCTTTATTTTCAAATTTGGAAATGAAAACTCTTCTGAAACTATAGTTAGTAGAGTTCAAAATCCTGATCAAGCGATATTTGAATCTTATTATGATCAAAATGGTCCTAACTTTGGTGGTACAGCTCTTAGAATGAAAGATAATTTTAAAGAAGATAAATCTTGTGTTTGTATTGGTCATAAGGGATATGAAAAGCCCATTAGAAATTCTAAAACTCCGTTTTCTGTTGACGAATATGAAGTATTTAAAGTTTCAAACAAGCTTGGCTTCAAAATTCCCGAATAATTATTTAAATATTCTTCGTTTACTTTAAAGAATTTGTTAAGAGATAGATATCATTGACCAGATTTTGAGTGTGACGAGCATCAAATTTAAGAGATTATTTGACAAGACAGATATTTTCGAACCAATTTGAAATAGATTTCGATTTATAGGTCTCTTTTTTTTTTTATAAATGTATTTTTCTGTGTATTATTTAAATATTTATATAAATTGGATAAACTTTATATATAAAATATATATTTTTTACATTTGAATAATTTGTTATGCAAAATTTCATTTATTTGTGTAATACGTACTGTATGAACAAGGTAATTTATGTTAATTATTTCACAAAAAAAAAAAAAAAGTTTAATACGGTAAAGTATTTCGTTAAATACAAAATTTTAAAATGATATAGTTGGACACAGTTTTTATTTAGTTGAAAAAAGACCCAAATATTAATATCAGGGAACAAACATAAAAAATAAGCATATTGTGTACCGAAAAATTCCGTGCACCGTGCCGACCTTTATACCGACTAATTTGTCACTTCTATTTGTATAATTTTAGGTGATAACTTAAACGAATGTTTAACTTCGGCCTTACTATTGAACCTACAATACTAGGCATTGGGCGTTCTCAAGTGCCTACCTCAATGGACTCAACAACGAATTTGATTGGTCTGCTTAATCAAACTAGCCAATCAGATTTTTTATTGAATTCATTGAGGTAGGTGCTTGAGAACTTCCATTTGCAGATGAATTTTAAATCAATATAGTGCTGCTAAATATAAATATTAAAACCCGCCAATTAATCTACTAAGGGCGTTCTCAAGCACCTACCTCAATGAATTCAATAAAAAATCTGATTGGTCTGTTTTATCAAACTAACCAATCAGATTTTTTATTGAATTCATTGAGGTAAACGTTTGAGAACGCCCTAAGTCTGCTTCTGCTATATATAACTTTATTATACTGAACTCTCTATATAGTGAAGAATTTTGAGTCATGGAATTATTAAAATTCAACTAAGCTATAGTCAAGATGTTTTTTTCGACCCACTGACTTCATTATGCATTATTTGGAAGGTTTAACAGTATATTATGTTTTTTTTATGACAGATCAGTTAGGCTAACAATTCCATCTGTTATACGTATAATGATGTAAATTTTCAAAGTTTATAGAAAAATTAAAAAAAAAACCTGTTAAAATTTTTTAAATTTTCTGTAAAGTATAAAATATTGCAATATATATTTACAATATAAACAAAAGCAAATATTATTGCCAACTAATGATTTATAGTTATAAAAATTTTATTTTTCTTTTTAATACCTATATGAACTATTTACAATATATCATTTTTTTATATACTATCAATATGGTTGCCTGACATAACAAAGGTGACAATTTGCTAACGATATATACCTACAATTCTATTAATTTTAGGTAAGCCTGTTGCATCTAAAGTAGCGATTTATCTAAAGTAGCTACTTTAGATATATAAAGTAGCGCCTGACTAAAATTAGGCCCCTGAAATTAGATCTTCATGCATGCACTAAATCGTAATTCTAGCCCAGGGCTACTTTAGATAGGGTGGCTACTTTAGATGCAACAAGCCTGTACGATAATGACAGTCAAGGAAATGAACGACTATTATTTATTAATTATCCCTAAATATTATAAAACATCACTCGTTATGCGAGCACACAGCAGTGCCATGTTATTGCTCAACTTCCAGATCCACTTTATCGAAGTATCATTTATCTGAGTCCATAATACTGATGACCCTATTTTTTGACAAGACATCTTCTCAATAAAAATAATTTCCCGATAATCTGATTCCTTGATACGAACTCTAATGATAGCCCTTTTCGCCGACAAGGTCTTTTCCCGAAATCTTATTTCCCCGATAAGAAATATTTCTGACAGCCTTTTCTTAGAAAATAATCTATTGCATATATTGATATTGCAATTCCAAAAAGTCGTCGTAATGAATCATATTTTGTTGTATTTGAATTCGGTGAAACATTCGTTAGCAAAAGAGCTTTCAGCGATATAGTTTCGAAGAAATGGAATGTGGAAAAAAGTAACAAATGAAAATAATATTCGGAGAAATGGTATTGGAAGATACGGTCAACTCTCTCTAAGTGCAATTCATTGGGACCGGACTTTTAGCAACATGCATTTAGAGAACAAATAAGAAAAATTGCATTTATAGAGATAAAACGTATACCAAATATATACTTGGACCCGAAGTTAAAGTTGCATTTAGAGAGAGTTGACTGTATATGACTTATCAGCTATCAATTATGAGGTATCAAAATTATGCCTTGTCAATAAAAATGGTATTTCTGAAAAATGGATTTCGGAATGCTAACTTGCATGAAATACAGGTGAAATCATATACAGAATTTACTCACGGCTTATAAGTAAGTCACACGGTTCTAATGGAACACGACATCTAGCCAACTACCGCAACGAAATCCTTCATTCACTAACATTTAACAACTTCCATGCATAATCTTTATTCACAATAACCACTCAATATTCTTTAACCTTTTGTTTAAGAAATACGTATAGCGAAATTTCATCAATTAAGTATTAAAATCGCTATAAACATAAATATAATGATACACAACATTGTGGGAAATACGTAATCCATTGGGAAATTTGTGCCACATCGGTTAAGGATTAATTTCCCGAAAATCATTTTTCTGAAATACCATTTTACCGAATCTATAATGCTGAAAATTCATTTCATTGGGGATTTTAGAATTAACCTTTTTTAAAATAAGCAGGGGTTTAAAAGGATCCTATTTCTTTTTTAAAAATTCGGTAAGCGATTATGTAAATACGTAAGTACATGCATAAATACGTACGTCATTTATTTTATCTGAAATCGAACGTCAATCATTAATTCTGAAACCCCGTTGAGATATCATATCGGTTATCGGGAAATTAGTTTGATCGGAAAAAAGTATTTGATGAAACTTTTATTGGCAAAATAAGCTGTCAGAAATATTATTTGTCAAAAAATAATTTTATCGGAATTATTGCTAAATTGAATACCCGCACATGCAGAAACCTCTCAATTAAGCAAATGGAAAGTTACACTGTACATTACGTGCGACTTTCTAAAAATTATATAAACTACTTAAATTGCTTCATATATGTACGTACGAGAAATATATTACGAAATGGCTCAAGATTCAACATCTACTAATGAAACCCTTAGATCCCTTGATGATTATGTTCTCCTAGGGCGTAGTGGATTGAGAATTTCTCCTCTATGTCTTGGTACCATGGTATATCAATTTTAATTTATGATATGTTATCATTATCGTGTTTTCTTCTTTTTCTAAAAAAAAAAAATTTTTTTAATTATTTCGGTAAAAGACTTTTGGAGAAAAATTTGTAAGCTTTTCTTTTCTATTTCTGAAAATCTGTTTTCTCGAAATGAAACTGATATTTGTATATACAATTAATAGAAATTTGGTTCAAATTATGAAAATTCTAAAGAAGTTTTCGATTATTATTATGAGAAAGGCGGAAATTTCTTTGGTACTGTACATATATATATACGTAAAACAAATATGTTACTTGATATTAAATTCAAATAATATTTGCCTTTTCTAGATACTGCAAACTTATATAATTTAGGAGAGGTAAATAATGCGTATTAATAATATATTAATTACATTACGTATTTCTAATATGCTAACTAGTTCTTTTTTTTAATTTTATTTTACATGTAAAAAAAGAGCGAACGTTTTCTTGGAGAATATATTGCTGATAAACGGTCTCAAGTTGTAATTGCCACCAAATATACTTGTATGTTAATTTGATCATCGATTTTTCGTAAACATTCGTAAAATATGCTACATATTTCCTTTTTATTTATAAAGCAAATACTAGTACTATGATACCTAATGCAAAATTTAACCCAAATGCTGGTAATTTCACAAACTTTATTATTCATCTTGTGAATCTGTATTTACAGATATAATTTCTGATATATATATGTATATTTATATATGTTGTTCTATTTAAAGGCGGAAACCACCGTAAATCTCTTGTCGAAAATCTCGATGAAAGCCTTAAGCGATTGGGCACCGGTTATGTTGATATCATGTATGTTCATATTTGGGAATTTCGTACTCCTACTGAGGAAGTAATACGTTCTTTAGATGATGTTATTAGAAGTGGAAAGGTAGATTATCTTTGCTCAATTTGATAATTAATATACAGTAAATAGTTATTAATAATTCCTACAGGCACTCTATATCGCGATTAGCGATACACCAGCATGGGTGATTAGCCAAGCGAATACCATAGCTGGATTACGCGGATGGAGGTAATATAATATACGCAAAACAATATATATATATATATATATGTCGTGATAATAAGAATTAACTAAAATCTTACAATTTTATATAAGTCGTTTTATTGGGTTGCAAACCCGATATAATTTATTAGATCGATCCATGGAATATGATTTGCAGTCTGTATGTGCCGAATTTGATGTGCGTAAAACAAATAAGAGCTTTGAACTTTATCCAAAAGTCTGTTAATAAAGCTTGATAATATAATAACTAACGGTATTCTTACTAATAAAGGTTGGAATCGTTCCTTGGGGATGTATTGCAGAAGGGTAATTATCTCTTTGATACCATGCATGATTACGCATGAGTTAATTTATTCCTTTTCATTATTTTATGGATAGGTTCTTGACTGGAAAGCACACTAGAGAGTCAGTTACAAATGAAGAAAAGATTGGTGGGCGTAGTTACTCAATTTCTAAGTTAGCAAATGTTGAAAGAAACTGGGAAATTCTTGATGAAGTTAAAGCTATTGCTTCTGAAATCAATAGAAGTCCTGTTCAGGTAGCTTTAAATTTATTTTTCATAGTTACTTAAAAAGCATTTTTTTATAATTTCAATTATTTTTCAAATTAAAAAGGTTGCTTTAAATTGGGTCTCACAAAAACCCGGTGTCACTTCACCTCTTATCGGTGCCAGAACA